ATGCTGCTACATTATTTCTATGGAAAGTTCTTTATACAATTCTCAGATTCTGAACAACAACTTGATAGAGATTTTAAAGTGTTTGCATGTGTTGATGGGAGACTGCCCAGATGGGAGTGCTCTGTGTGAAAAGCCACCAAAATCAATAGTTATCAACTTTGCTGTTTAGCACTAAATATGGGCTGCCTTTAATATGGCCTCATGATTTTTATCTTTCATTTGGCAAATTGATCTGCCTGATGTGCTGCAAACCCCCAGCAGTTCTGTTCATTGAGCATTAAGTATTGACTGCAAGGAGAATCCTGGCAAGCAGATTAAAGATAAATGATTTCCTTAGGTATTTGTTTAACAAAGTGCCTAAGGAGGCAGACACCTGCACATGAGAACTGGAGGAGAGTGCAATCTCACAGGACTTAAGGTGACAGGTTCTTCAGGCTACTCCTCAGTTTAGTTTCACACAGTGGCCCAAGAACCTCTAACTGCTACCAGTGAATTGCTGCTCCTCTGGCTCAAGTGAGAGATCCATCTTGGAATCTATAAATGCAGTTGTATGACTTATATATGAGGATAAAGTTATGTATTCCCTGAGTTTGTGAAATATTACAGTTGAGGCAGGGAGTGTGTTTGTTGCTTTTTTTCCCCTAGAACTTCACCTACCAGCAAAGGTTGAATGCAGTTGCACTCACTCTCTGTCAAATTCTCTGAGTAATCAACACCAAGATCTAGGAAACGACTCTTGTTTCTTGTGCAATTAATGGAATTTCATGTCTTTCCCCCCATCTCTTACTCTTGGAATTATTTGCATGTGCTTGAACAGAGTTTAAAATACCTTGCAAGATATACTCGTGTCATGTCTTGCTGCAGCTACAAAGTGCACTCCTTTCCCCAGAGGGAGAAATAAAAGGTGCTCATTGATGTACCAGATTTATATGATGTTGCATTTTTTGTTTCCAAGGGAATTTTGAGCATTCTTCGAGGGTTTTGTTTGCGTCTGCAGCCATCAGAGCACAGTTCCAGCTGTAAGTTGAGGAGAGACATCTGAACTGCCAGTCAGTGCTTGGTGACTCAGTGTGGAATGTCTTGGTGCAATTTCAGGAAGAAGAAGCGGGCAATTGTTATGATGGTGACAGTGGTGTTTCTCTTTGCAGTCTGTTGGGCCCCCTTCCACGTGATTCACATGCTGATAGAATACAGTGAGTACCTGCCATGTGTCATACAAGAAAGGCTTTCTTAGGTTTTTTTGGGTCTTTTTTTTTATGATGGAAATACAGGTTGTGACAAGCTAGTGCTGCTGTGGTATTCAGCTACAGAATACCTCCTGCTGGCAAAGGCTGATGTGGTTATAAATCCTGGATCACTCTCTTGGAATAGAGATACATAGCCAGTGACAGAGGAATTGCTCTGAAGCCTGTGGGTGATAGACATACCTGCAGTGCTCATGGAAAATGAGTGTATTTCAAAAAACCTATTGTTACTGAATCATAAAATCATTTAGGTTGGGAAGGACCTTATATATTTTTGGGAGATCCCTTTTATATGGGGTGTACTTGCTTCAGTCATGCTTCTTCTTCCCTGCTCTGTGAATTAAACAAAAAACCAAAAAAACACAAAAGAAAACAAACCACAAATATAATCTTTGTCTTGCATTGGGCTTTTTTTTCAGGGTGGGTGGGTGGGAGGGAACCCAAGCTCTCCACCTGCTATTTTAGAAGGTAAGCTCTTTAGAAAGGAAGTTGTCATTGATTTTGTACAGCAAATAATCCAGTTCTGAAAAGGAGGTTTGCTAGGCCTAACAAGACTTTAAAAAAACCCAAGACCATTGGAGTGGTGAGCATATCTCTGCATATTCTTTTTCTTTTTTATGTCTTTTGTGCTGCCCTCATTTGCTGAAAGGTCAAAAGTACCTGGCTGGAAGGTAAAAGTTATTTCTGAGCATAAACCTTCTTGAAGTACTACTTTAATTTAAATTTAATTTAACTGTTTTGAGTTAAACTGATGAAATATTTGTGCCTTCACTTGCCCTGGTTTTAATGGGGTAGGCATATTGGAAATATAAATTCTGGACATTGTAGTGATAATACTCAATGAATGCAGTTGAACTTTTTCAGTGGTCTTGACTGAAAATTGTCTTGGAAATGCCCTCAAGGCTTGTTATGCTTGCTTTCTGCTATTTACCCTGTTCTCTCTTCATCTCCCATGTCCTCCATGGGTGCTGGGCTGACACATGGGACTGTGCAGCAGGCTATGTGTAGGAGCAAGAGGAAGTTTTCAGTAGTCATTGTACTCTACTTGCCAAAAGCAGCAGCTGTTTCTGTGTCTTCTATCACAAATAGGATGGTAGCAGATAAATCAGTAGTTCAGCCAGTCAGCTGAACTAAATGATGTTTGTCTGAGCAGAATCAGACCTGCACAAGCACTGGTTATTAAAATTGGATTGTCCCATGTTAAGGTTGTTCATAACACTCCAAAACACTGTTTACTCTCTTTTTGTTGCTAATTTCAGGAATTTATTTCAGGTGCTGCAAGGCCTTTGTTTTACTTGCCATATAAACCTCTGTAGTATTTATCCAGAGTCTGGTCCCTGAGTATTTGAATTCAAGAAATTCTGAGTCCTCTGTGATCTCAATGATTAAGAAGAGAGAGATGTGACCAAGATGATGCATTTTTACCTCTTTGAGCTGATCTGTGTCAGCACAGAGAAAGAAGCTGTGTGTGGTCAGTGACAAGACAGGGAGTGGTGTTCCAGTACTTACACATTTAATAGGACATGAATCTTGGAGCAAAAAGAGTAGCTGGAATGAACAGGGCCTGTACTTAGCAAATTGGAGGCTTAATGTTGCATGGCCATGGGGCTTTCTGGCTCATAAATTGCTTCTTTCAATTGATTCTGTTATTACACGTACAAAGCAGGACTCTGTGATAGATCTTGATTTTTCCTCCTTGATGAAACCCTTTTGCTAATATTGAGAGCTTCCAACAAGGTCTTTTGTTGATTTTAAACAAAAGCTTCTAATGCCAGACTGGATATAAATGGGCTAAGTAGTAAGCATTTATGCCATTACATGCTTACAGCATATTTCTTTCCTCCTTTCCAGGTAACTTTGAAAAGGAGTATGATGATGTGACAGTCAAAATGATCTTTGCCATTGTCCAGATCATAGGGTTCTTCAACTCTATTTGCAACCCCATCGTTTATGCTTTCATGAACGAGAACTTCAAGAAGAACTTTTTGTCTGCCATCTGCTTCTGCATTGTGAAAGAAAACACCTCCCCAGCCAGGCAGCTGGGGAACTCGGGGATTACTATGAGAAGGCAAAAGCCAAGTGCTTCCCAGAGAGAGGCCACGGACTCGGATGAAGGCAGGAGGGAGGCGTTCAGCGATGGCAACATCGAAGTGAAGTTCTGTGACCAGCCAGCTTCCAGAAGGAATTTGAGAAGGCACCTTGTCTTGTTCAGCTCTGAGCTCACTGTGCACTCTGCACTGGGAAATGGACAGTAGCATCACAGGGGGGTTGAGAACGGAACTTAGGGAACTTTCAATAAGCCATTTAAAACACTTTTCTACTTTGCATGCTGAAGTAAGGCAGAAAATATTTTGTGGACTATCATAATGCTGCTTGAGAAAATGTAATATTTATTTTATAAGGATGAGGAGTAAAACTTCAGAAGACAATATTGCTGTGTGATTTCCTGTGGGGGATAAAAATTGTTTTTCCTAAGATAGTTTAGGACTTGTTTGCCCTAAAGTGCTATTGCTTGCTCTGTTTATTCTGTGTCTGCACCGTACACAGCCGAAGGCAGGAACTATGGAGAGAGTGTGCACTTTATCTGGACAACCTGGAAATCTGACCTGAGTCTGACATTGTAAGATCTGCTCTCTGCAGCTGTGAGGACAGGGGAGCTTCAGATGAGAGTTCAGGGAAGATGCAGACTGAGATGCAATTCTGTTTCAGAAAAAACAAAAAGGGGATATGAAAGAGCCAACAGCTCGAATTTGACTCTGAAGAGATTGAGATTTAACCACTGCATGCTTGTTCATATTTTATTAATAGGAAATATATTAGTAATTAACAATGCATGCAAAATTAATGTGCTGTTTTTACAGGTTAATTCTTGGGTACTGCTCTGGAAACTTCCCTGTTCTGCTGAAAAATGGAGTGGTGGAAAAAAGGCCGCACAAGAGTGTGCAAGTGCTGGAGGTGTGGTCTGTAAACACTGAGTTTAACTCACAGTCTTGCTTGGATATGTGGCTGTTGGCTTGAAAGTGTGGTGTTGCCATTTTCTGGAGGCATAAAAGGGTCAGATCCAGAGCTTGTTGGGACTTCCCAGAAGACTTTGAATTGAGTATCACATTCTTTTGACCAGTTTCTCTGAAGACATGCACAAATTTTTCTGTCTCTCCATCATCTTCAAAGGGAATTAATTACTGTTGAAGAACAGGGCCAGTGTTCTGTTATTTTTAAACTTCACAGTAAGTTACAGGGTTAAAATCCATATAAATTCTAATCATTTTTGCTCCATGGGCCAAACTGAAAAATTGTAAAAGTCTGCTAACAGGTGTGGGGCTGGGGGAAAAGTGTGGTCTAGAATGGTACACTGGATCTAATCCCATAAATGAGGTTTTGAAATACAGAATTTGCCACTCCTGCTGAGGTTAGGTTGGATCCTTTAACAGCCTGTGAAATGTCAGTGCTCTCCTCTGTCATCCCTTGCCTCACCTATGGGACCTTGGTGCTCCCTTGCAGAAATTTAAGATTCTTTGGGGGCTTTCTGCCCTGGAGAATAGGGCTTAACAGTGGTTTGTTATCATAGTTTTCCTCAGCAGATGTAAAGTTTAACTGATTGGTGGTGAGAACTATGTGCTTGGACAGAATCTGTGATTGAAAGCCAATTTATTTTAAGCTTTTTGTTTATTTGCACTGCTTATTTCAGTGCCAGGTTTTAACAAGTGTTTTACAAAAACTTCCAAGTATTTTATATTTTTGTTTTGTCTTACCTATTTCTTCTGTTGTCTCGTGAAATATTTTGTCAATGAATAACTGTTCTAGTATTGTATTAATTTTTTTTTCATTAAAATTCCTTTTTGGGTTTGTTGGTGCTGTTTTGCACTAGGGAGCACCTGCTGTAAACTTCACTCTTTGAGTTTCTCTTTGTTTAAAGATTCATGTAAGCTTGTATGTCCCTCTTTAGGGATTAAATTCCAGTGCTGTTACAGGTGCCAGCTGTTTCTGTGACCCTTAGAGCTGTGATTTAAAGGGCTTTGCAGAATAAGGTGAGAAAGGGGAAAAAAACTTCCAGTCTCTTGGTAGAAGAGATGTGATGAATGTTTCAGCACAGATATATGTGGCTATGGTTAGACCAAATATAAACCAAAATACAGAACACAGTTCTCATGCTGTTCTTAATACTAACTATATTATTTGTGCATTTTTGACATGGTGGTTTTCTTGGAGCCACATAATCTTTTGAGAATTCAGAGCCACAGGGAATAAAAGACCTGTTATTGACTGAAGCACAACCAAGATTTTGCCCATGTTTTTTTCCTTTTAAATCTGTCAGGGCCTCAGCTTTGATTAACTCACAAACCCAGTTGGTCTATTGAACTGGGTCAGTTGTTGGTCCAGACTAGCAGCCTGTGTCTTCCTGCTTCCATGTGTGTGGCTGTAACTCGGAGCTCCAAGCCAGGGAAAGCTGGCACTGCTGTGGGAGGAACAGCCCTGCTGTCCCCCAGCCTACCTGTGCTTGTTCCCATCTTACAGCAACAGAATGACATGGAGCATGTGGTCACAAAAATTTCTGGCTGATGATTTTACTGGAGAACAGAAAAAATAACCACGCTCGTTCCCCTAAAATGAGAATATTTATCAAAACTGTTGTGATCTGGGAGGAAAAATTGTCTTAGTTATGAATTACTTGTAATTTCTTTGATTTAAAGAGAAACTTCTTTTGTTCTCAGCTGTAAGGGGCTAAGCCTCAAAGTTACAATGAGATGATGCCAGGAACTGGCATGCTGATGGAGACAGGAGAATGAAAGGACACATTCAACTGAGCAGAGACTGGGAATTTGAATGGACCAGGAACAGGTGTCAGATGTGTGAGCTTACTCAACTGATAGCAGAGAGTATTAATAAGGAACACAGTGAGCAGAAGGGAATGTAAGTATTGTGGTTGTATGTGCTGCCTGCAGGGTGTATGAGTGTGGCAGAAGCTGCTAAATCAAGGGATCCAGCTTTGGGGAAGGGATGCCTGAGAGATGAGAGAAATTACACAAAGAGCATTGAAGACGAGGCCCAGATTATTATTGCCCAGGAAAAAAAGAAAAGGAGTAAGTAGATGAAAGAATTTAGTAGAGCTGTTGACATAAAGAGATGGGATAGGAAGATAATCATGGCAAGCTATGTTTTTATAGAGATGTATGGGATGATCAGAGTGTTACAGAAGTTGGGACAGCTTAGAAACTGTGTAGAGAGCAGTTTGGGGAACAGAGCATAGGGCAAAAGGCTGGGAAGACCAAAAGCTGCCCTTTTGGTGCCTCTCCAAGAGGGAGCTGCAGAATGGAGGAGGAGCTTCGCCGAGCTGAGAAGGAGACAGGTAAATGTGGATTTAATGCAGAAACACAGGATTTTGGATTGCATAAATTCCTTCAGAGACATCCACATAACCTGATTATTTCTGTCTATACTCAAAGTCCTGCTTTGACACCTCAAAACTGGCTTCCAGGGGTATTGCTGGAAATTCAAGCCGTCATTAGCTGCTTCTGTCGAAGCTCCAGTGAAGTTGGTACATTATGAAGTTATTTTACAAGCTCTGGTGATTTGAGATGAAAAAGAATCCATGTTCTTAATATTTAGTTAATAATTCATTGCAAGTGGCTCTAGTTCCTCAAAACTCTCAAGATGTGAAGTCCTGCTCAAATGTTATGTAGAGTTTCTCTGACCCTGTAATAAATTCTGATTTCAACTACTATTTTCAGTGCTGCTATCAGCACGTGGTACTATCTTTACCAGCTTTTGGTTACTGCTGCCTACATTGTTTCCTGTTCTGGGATTTCTGGGTTTTGCTCTGTCTGGGCAAAAGTGGCAATTTTTGCCTTACTGACTTGTCTGTAAGCAGCTGCAGTGATCAGAACAGCCTCATCCAGATTTTGTTTTATAGAGGTATGAATATGCCTGTTTTAAAGAGTGATCCTTAAATATTTATGATGTTTGTAGTGGAAAAAAAAATCACATTGGGGTAAACTGGTGTTTAAAGGCCTTCCTTGACCTGATGCAACTGTAGGTGAAGCTTAATGTGTTTCCTCAGGTTGGGCTGAACAACAAAGTAGGTGCTTTCCTTGGATTCAGCAGCTGATCTGTAACCATCTAATAGGTACATCCGGAGGAATAAGGGTCACAGACTGTTTTATTATGAGAGTTTAACCCCCCCAACTCTTCAGCCACATCAATAAACAAAACATGGTCAGACAGAAGCAGTAAAACCTGGCTCCTGTTACTCCTGTAAGTACAGACTAACAGTCCTGTGAGTCAAGTTGAGATCCCATCTGTTTTGCTGCAGAAGGGCTGCCCTACAAGCCACGGCTGGTTTTGAGAAGGTTTAAGGGTATTTACCTGTAACATGTAAAAGGCATCTAGAAATTTAGTGGAGTTAAAAACAAACTTCAGGAAATGTGTCTGTGCCCTGTAGAGTGCTTAAAACTCAAACCAAGACTTGAGGGATGTCTGCTGCCTGAAAAATGCTGAATTTTGCTGTTCGGCCTCCTGTGGAGTAATACAAAACCTTCTATGAAAAGCTCTGATTTCCTTACATTTTCCACTGTTTTCCTCAAAACACAAACTTCTGCTTATTTCTTATTCTTTGGAGAAATAATTGTAAACCCCTTGCCCCAAACATATTTTGGCATACGGTCAGTCTGAGAAAGGGACTCTGTCCTAGAATGACATAATATTGTGCTTGAAAGACTTCTTTAGGTCAGCACTCTTTTCTTAGAGGAAAAAAAATCTCTTTTTCTAAGCTTCTGCTTGAAATCTCTTTAGATCTCTCTAGTTTTTATTTGCTTGTTCCAATGGCAACACTCATTTTTTTCTAAGTTAATCACACCAAGGTTCCTCTGGGCTCTCTCTCATCAGGTGAGTTTACTGTTCCCTTGGACATGGTCCTTTTCTCCTCTAATCTTTTCCAAACACACATGATCAAATTGTGTGCAGCTTTTCAGCTGAGGCTTTAACAGTGTGTATTCCTTATGGAACAAAAATTCATCCTTTCTGGCATCTGTATCTTTGCTCTGTTTGCCAAAATGAAAGTGCCTTCAGATGCTTAACTTTCTCCTTGTACAGAATTCACAATGTATGACTGAAAACTTGTACTTTCATTCCTCCTTATAAACTGGAAAATCTGGTTTACAGACTTGAAGTGATTTTTCCTACATCTTAAACTTACAGCTTTAATCAAAAACAATCTCTTATTTACGCCATCTTTCCTCCCTGCTCCTGAGAAAAGCCTTAATTAAATGATTTAAAATTTAAGGCAAGGTCTCTGTAATTCTCTTGTTATATCTTGGAAATACATAGAAGGATTTCAGGCTTTTTGTAAATCTGATTTGTAAATCCATTTTATTTTCCCATCTGAAATAAGTGTCCTTGCTCCTTGTAATTTATACCACCTTGATAAATATTCCAATGTATGTACATATAACTGTTGCAGCATGAGACATAATTTTCCAGTAATCTTTTAATTTCATTTTCTGCTTCAAAAGTTTGCTCAAGCAAAAATTACTCAGGATTGACCTGTACTTTCCACTGCTGAAGAATGAATTGTTGACTGACTAAATAAAGCAGAAGTGCTACACATCCATCCCACTGGAAGGGAAAAAATTTCAATTATATTTGGAAAAAAAAATATTTTTTTTTCCTAAATAAGATTTCTGTTTGTAAAAGAAGGTGGTCAACGTATTTTATTTTTTTAAAAGCTTTTTTCTTACTTACCTTTTTTAGGTGTCTTTCCCTTGTGCCCAGGCTCTGCTGTCAAGAGTGGAAAAGCTGCTGACTGGCCTGTGGGATGCACTCAGTGCAGAGACTGGCTTACAGTTCTCCATTTGTATGAGGGCTACTTTCCGTACTCTGCTTGTCGGTATTCCAGTGACATCCCTGGGAACCTCCTGCTTTCATAGCATCCCTGACCTCTGCAGTTGGCTTTGTTTAAGATCACTCTTTCCCAAAAGCAAACTTCGTTCAGTGAGAAGTCAAGCTTTGACTTCTGCCTTTTGCCTCGCTCCTTTTCTTTTCTCATCTCATCAGTTTGGTTTACTTTTTCACTTTGTCCTTATTTTTAATCCTGTTGCTTTTCCTCAAGCATCTCCTTGAGTTCCCTGTGCCCTTATCTCTTTTATACAGATCACAATAACCAGGCAATGAATTTTAATGCTGAAGTGAAGCAGTCCTCTGGTTCGGAATTAGTATTCCATCAGGGCTGGCTATCAGATCTGTGAACTGCATTTCCAGCCCTTATTTCAGGCCCCCTTGGAAAGACCTTGCCCACTCCACTGGCTCCATTTGGCTTGCTTTTGGTGAGAAGAGAAGAGAAGAGAAGAGAAGAGAAGAGAAGAGAAGAGAAGA